ATATATATATATATATATATAAAAGAAAGAAATTTACAAACATTTAAATCAACATCGTCAAGCTTCTAAATAACAGAAAGCGCACGTGACTTTCAGATCACGAAACTCTTCGGCATCAACTACGACACGCCAAGCGGAAGCGAGCCGATACACGCGTCCATGAGTCAACAGACCATCAATCAGCCAGGCTCGTACATGCTGGCGCCAAGCTACAGCGAGGCGCTTCTGATGGATCCAGCGCCGGATCAGCGAACAGCCGAGTCCCAGGGCGCGAGTATAACCGAAATGGTGCCGAGTTATTCGGAAGCGTTGCTCTACCAGCGAGCCGAGCAAGGCTGCGTCGTAACGCAGAACGTCGACGAGGACTCGAGTCGTCGAGCAACGTCGCGCGAATGTTCCTGCCCGTGTCACATGGTCTCATCTACCTTCGAGGTGAACGTGCAGAAGGAAGGATCGAGGCAAGACGAGGACAACGGACAATCGAACGATCAACAGATCAACAGACAACCACTGGCGAAAACGGCAGGTATAGATGTGCAGCCTTCGAGTTGCACGCTGGTCAGCGAAACGGAGACCGGAATGTGTGGAAGCTGCGGGAAATTCTTGGTGGAAGCGCAGCTGGAAAGCTCGGAGATGTCGAGAAGCGAGTGTAACGTGGAGGATGGTCCTGGGACCAGCTCGCTCAGAGGGTTCCAAAATATGAGGAGGGCAGCGAGGACCAGCGTGATTCCTCGAGACATGTCCGAGCCGAATCTCAGGTCCAGATCGGAACTGATGGAAGCTGACACCAAGTTTCTTAGGTTGAACGGGCAGAGTTTGAGAAATATTTTGGAATGCGAGCAGGAAGAGGAGTTCAGTATGGAAGATAGGATGGGTGAGACTGGTCAAGGTAAGATCGGTGAGCCGATGAGAAGCGGAGGAGATTTCAGGTTGTCCCTTTGCTCCCTCGACGAAGCCAATTCTAGGTCTAGAGCGGTCGTAGACGCGAGCAGAGGCGCGATACCGAAGAGATTGGCCAGCAGGAACCGAGTGATCGCGAATCCGATGTCGAACGAGGCTTGCGGATTGCCCGATTCGAAGACATACCTTTGCTTGAAATCGATTCTTAAACAGAACAAAAGAAGGTATACTCTGATCACCGCGAAGGAGCTTCAGGACTTCTCCGATAGAGAAGACGACAACGTGGACAGACGTTTGCAGAATCGATCGTCGTATCACGAGGGTTGTGTTCCGGTTAGCGCTACGAAGAACAACGCTGGACAGAGATTCGATCTGCTTTCGAGATCGAGGGAGAGTTTGGACGGTGCTTTAGGAAGAAGGAAAAAACAATTTTTGGAGAATATATCCATAGAGAAATGCGAAGAAGCATCAAAACGAGAAAATAATAGGTGAGTTTTTGAAGTTTCTATTCTTGATTTACCTTAACGTTTTTCGAATGTTATTCTTTCATTTAATTCTTTTATTTTATTTAATTCTAATTTATCTGATTATTTTTTAGGTTGCTTTATAATTACTAGTTAAACGCCTTTGTAGGAAAATGTAGCTAATAATAATTCATGTTAATTTGTGCTATTTTAATATACTAACAGTATACGTTGTACGAAACATTTTGAAATTTCATGCGACACGACTATTATAATTATATCGATAAAATTTGAGAATTTAAAATTGCATATAAATTATTGCAAGTATCGTACTTTGCAAAGATCATCAAAGTATTTGAACAATCAATTATTCGTCAACAAACGTGTAATTATCGCTGAAGAGAATATTAACTGGTATTCATGCCTGTTTCCTAACTTCTACACTATCGTTCGAAATTTCGGAGCATTCGTCAAAGTCATCTTAAAAATCAAAGACATTTAAAAGAATTAACAAATCAGTGTATTTAATAACGCCAGTGTAGTTACGCCAGAAAGAAATGATTTTATCCGGTTTATAAATTCCTGTGTGCTCCAAGCTTCTGGACGATAGTATTTGCAGATTGCCTTCAGATTTCACTTTCAACCTGCAGAACTCTCATCTTCGCGAGCCCGATACAGGAGGTCTGCCCTGGCGATCCCTTCGGTGGAAAAGACGTAGTACGAACGCGACAGGAAGTGGACTCTACCCCTACGGAAGAGTCACCGAATCACACGGTCCTCGGTCAACTTGGACGATCTCTCACCTGCGATCGGAAATCCTCCCGACGCCGATTCCAAGATTCTCACAAACAACGTTACTCGGACATCTCTCATCCTTCTTCCTTCTCCTGTCCACTTGACCGTCAACATCCTTATCCGTATGCATTCTCAGCGTCCACAGACGCCATGGACACCATGGACTTCAACAAGAACGTTCAACAAACCTCAGCCAGAGTTTATCAACACGCAACGTCTTTCCCACCCTACGAAGGATCGATCTCGAGTCACGGCGAGAAATTCATCGATCAGCAAGGTACGACAGACAGAGTTTCTCCTGCGAACGTTCCCAAATCGAACAAGGGAGAACTGACGCGTTCGTTGACCGAAAAACGAACGAAATCGGGTCGGAATGACGCGAGTTTTCGTCGAAGCTTCACCGGAAGGGTGGAGGATTACAGAACGGAGAATAATAAATGGGCGAACCTGAATATGGAGACGTCGTTATAACGAAGGGACAGGGGATAATGATTGTAAATATCCGTCCTGCCACTTTTCAACATCTTGTACATACGATTGCGTGAATGCGATTTACGCGGCCCCGCCTTTGCTTCGCGTTTAGGAATATATTGATCCTTTCGTCGAAATTCGTTTTTCAACGCAACGCATTTGTGAATCTTGTGAATCACGTGATGTATATGATGACATTTCGAAAGATCTTGTAATTTGTACATATACTTTCAGATTTGTTTGACGAATTTTACTTTCGTAATTGTGATAGTCGTGTCTCGCGTGCTAATTGAAAATGTTTCATACAGTATGTATATATAATAGTAAGTGCTTAGATACATGTGCAAGATAAACTTTATATACATATATGACTTTTAAAACGATAATCTTCATTGATCGAATTAACGATCTCTGATCAAGGAGGTAGATTATCCTGAATCGTTTAAAATCTAAGGAAATTTCTTTTCATAGGTAATTGCTAAATAAAAAGTGACTTTTACGGAATGCAAATTTTTATTCAATTTTTTACTTGCAAATTAATTTGCAAATTTCGACTCGAGATAATCTAGTCCCTTAAAATTAATATTTTCAATTTCACTCGTCAAAAGCTATCATACATCACAAAGAAAATGTCACAAATTCGATGCGTCTAGAAAAACGAGGTTCTGTTTTGTTTGAAATTATCCTTTCGTGGATATGAGGGAAATTTGAGCGTGAAACGCTGTCAATGTTGCCAATAGGAGTTATATTATGGATTTTTAAAGAAAATTCTCTGATTTTTCGCGTGACACGCCTTGCTAAACATCGTGAATGCAATTTATAATTGCGTCAATTATGCGTACAGTTTTTGCACAAGCTTTTAAGAGGTTCAAATTTCGAAAGAAGAGGATTTTTAATATCCGAAAACGAAAATAAGATTATTAGACGCAGGCATTTTTATTCGATATTCGATTAAGCATGATATTTATGCTAATGTCCATGGCGTTATAATAATATTTAGATCGTATTGTTCTATAATTCTTCTCAACTAAAGTGTTTCATTTCTTGGTTGGGTAAGGTGAGATTGGACCAGTTTCTCGTTGAATTAAATAGATTTTTATATAAATGAAATCGACAGGAGAAAAATAATAGACTATAATTGAATGATAAAACATTGAACGGAGTTAAAATACAACTTATCGTATTTCAATGAATTAAGTTTAAAACATAGATATTAACTGCTGTTTAAGACATTGTGCTAAATTTTTAATAATATTAATAATTTTTAATAGCTGCAATAATGATAATAATTGAAACGGATGAAAGATATTTCAATTAATAAACTTGAATTTTAAAACTAGTTTAGTTTTAAATATAGTATAAAAATTGAGATAATAGATAAAATTTTCCAAAGCAGAAGAAAGAAAATAATAATTCATTGAAACGAAGTATTTTTACAGAGAACAAAAGAGAAAAAAAGGAGAAAGCTTTATGAATCATTTTTTACTCAACTCAATCTATCAACTTATATACCAAATAGAAGATTTTTTAATAGATTTTTGTTTCGTTCGAACACGTACATTTAAAAAACATGAACGATAAATTGGTTCACTCTTATCCTAACATCCAAGAAGTTCCATGTTTTTAAAAAGCATGGAAATCATAATGCGAGATTAATTCGTACGAACACGACGTTCGTAAAGAAAAAGAGAGAGAGAGAGAAAAACGTTCGCTCAAACATAAGCAAGGAAAAATGCGTAGATTTTACATTGCAAGAAGGGATTGGTGCAAAACAAGAAATCTAAAACTATATCGAAAAGGGAAAATCCGTGCCGAAAAACGATTGAAAGTCTTCGCTTCTCCGTGCACATAGAATT